ACATCGAGGGGATGTAACTCTCTTTATGTTTTAATGCTCTTTGTATTACTTATTCCAAGGTGAAAGCATTGAAGTTGGCATTTTCACTCTTCGCCGCGGCAATGAACTCTCTGCCCAAATTCGTGGTAGAAAATGCAGACTTCATTGGGGCAAAGAAAAAGCTTCGCCGAGGCAAAGAACTCTCTAGAATTTTTTGAGAAAATTCTGGAAAACTTGCTTAAGGGCAAAATGGTCATTCCACCCATAATTTGTTAAAAGTGTGGGGAGTGAAAAGAAATAGAATTACATGGAGAATGCAATGGAAGTGAGGACATTATTGTAATTGACTAAGGGACATAGATGAAATTTCATAGAAAGTGCAAGGGTAAAATAGGAATCTATAAGTATTATTATGTTATATTAAGGATGCAAGAATGAAACCCTAGCAACTTTTCCCCTCCATTCACGCTACTCTCCACTCAAATTCTCTCAAATTTCTTCAATCAATTTCCAAGGAAAGTCATAGAGTTTGGTTCATTTTTGATGGAATTTCAATCTTAAGCATCCCTAGGTAAGATCCTTGCACTAAGATGTGAGATTAATTTTTAAAGTGTTGAATTCTTATGATTTATGTTCATAGGGTTTATGTGTTTGTGTATATGGTGTTTGGTGAAAGTTTGGATGAATTATGGAAGAATTGGAGTAGAATTTATGAAGTGTAATTCCTTTCCAGGTTTGATGTTGATTTTAAGGAGTTTTGCTCCAAATTTTGGTGGCTTAAGAGAGATGTAGAAGTGTAGCCAATTTAGAGTTTGTGTGTGCATACAAATTGTTTGATGAAATGTCAAAGAAAAGTGCATGCATGAATATGATTACTTGTTATCTTGATATGAGTTGTGGATGGTAGAGAATGACATGTTCACATGCCATATTTCATTTTTACATCTAAACATGTGAATTAGAAAGAATAACAAGCATAAGCCCATCTACATGCATACATGCTTAGAAGAGCATTAAAGAACATTAAAGAACAAAGGGAAAGAAAGAAACCTATAAAAGAACACTTTTAAAGAAGAGAAGAGAAGGTTGTTACAATGGAGAGCCTGTGAGTGATTAGCCCCACATGCACGCCGCCTTCAGTGAGCGGCCTCAGAATAAGAAAGAAGAATTTGTACAGTCCGTTAGAAGTGCATGTGGATGAGGACTGTACCCAGAAAGAATTTGAGAATGCACTCACACGGCCAGGGTTCCAAATCTATGCCTCAACCAAGTCCGATTGACAAGAAAGAATAGAAAAGAAAGAAAGAAGAGAAGCAGAAAAGAAAATGCATATCCTATGCATTTGTGCATATGCATGATACCATTTCCACTAGCTTGAGTAAGTGAGAAACTAGAGTGTTAGAAAAAGCATAGAAGAAAAGAGAAGTTTGATGTAAGGAAATAAATTCAGAATATGAGCAACGGAGATAGAAGAGTAGCATAGTGGGTTTACTTACTGAGCCATTAGTACTCACTCCGTTGTTTTCAATGTTTTTGCAGGTAGTAGATAAGAAGGGGTCGGTGGGAACGTCAAGAAGCGGAAGGGTTTGGCAATACTGTCAAGTTTATTTTTGTGTGATTTTGTTACTTGATGTAGAACTCTGTATATGAAAGTAAAGTAAGTTTTGGACCCACTACCTTATACTTATATACATATATATTTTCCATAACTTGTTTAGTGAGTTTCATTTTATATATTTTACAAGTATACTAGCTAGAGAGAGTTATTACAAAAGCCCGACCAGCATAAGGCAGGTACAAAGCTTGACAGAGTGTGTGGTCGCACTTAGTAGGTCTGTTTCCTAAGCCATAGACATGTGCTTACTATTATTTGAGACCCTGAAAGGGAAGAAGGGTTTCAAGTGGACAGATGAGTGTGAAAAAGCCTTCCAAGAATTGAAGAAACATCTGGGATAACCTCCTTTGTTATCAAAGCCCATCCAGGGTGAGCCACAGACATGTATTCAGGGAGTTGATCGATTAATGCATCGACCGCAGCTTGAGTTGCCTCATCCATCTTTGCGCCTCTCTACTAAGGCGAGCTTGGTTTACTTCCCATTTTGCCTGTAGGAATAGATTTTTTCTTGGCCAAGTCCTTGGCTGCGGATTTCTTTGGGCCGTTTGCTTGCCTTGCAACCTCCTTGCCCAAGCCACCATGCTGCTCGGTCACTTTCTGTTTCCCCGAGCCCCCTTGAGGCTTGGTCGTTTTCTTCTTGTCGGAGCCTTTATACTACTTCGACATCTTTTTCTTGCTCGAGCCATCATGTTGCTCAGGTGCTTTCTGTTTTCCTGAACCTCAAGCTGGCTCAGATGCTTTCTTCACCAGCCCCTTTTGGGGCTTGGAGGTACCTTTCTTGCCAACTACCTTAGAGGTAGTCGCGGGCTTCTTCGCACTTAGGCCTTCCCCAAGCTTTCCCCCGCTTCGCTTTGTGCCAACAACATTAGTAGGCTACTTTTTCGCTGGAGAAACCAGGGATTTCTTGGCAGCACCAAAAGCTGCCACCTTTTTCTTCAGGCCCTTTGGTTTCTAAGGCCAAATTTTTGTGAAAGAAGAAGCAAGCAATCAGCTACCTACCTATACAAAAGGAAAAAGTGCGAGTAAGTGAACACTTTTATCTTTTTCAAGGATGGTAATAAAATTGACGTTATCCTCGCAAAAGTCATATGCCATCAAGCGAGGAAGTGGGATAATCTTGTTGACGTTGCGCTCCCCGTTGAAAAGGTCATTGAAGCGCTAAAGCCTCTGTAAGCTCACAGTGGGGAGAAAATTCTGCTTGACGTTAACTACAAAGCAAAGAAGTTTGGTTAGTTCGACCATCGAGCTTCGAAACGCTCTTCGCACACACTGGGGGTCGAAGTCTTACTAGCTTTTCAAGCAAAAATGTTGGTCTCCCCGACCTCATAAAAGAAAAATTGAGAGTCCCAGTGCAGGACCTTCTTTGGAATGTCGACCAGACCACTGAAACGTATTTTCCTCGTCTTGGAGAGGTAATACGTTTGGTTTTGACCTTTCGTTAATCTATATAGATGGACGAATTCCTCAACAGACGACTCGCCCAACTCGGCTATTCGGTAGGCTATATATAGACCTATGATTATGACGTATGAGTTCGCAGACAGCTAGAGAGGGACAATGTCGAACTGTCTCAAAACACTGTCGATGAAATGGTGAGGGGGAATAGACATCCCACATCTCAGAAGGGTCTTAGAGATTGGTACCTAGCCTATGAGGGGATTCTTCCAGGAGAAGCCTCCCAGAATCCTCAAGTTGAGTTGAGTTGAGGCGCTTAAGTCTCATTTATGCGCCTAAGATCCTCGGCATCAATTAAGGATTGCGGTTCCTTCTACGGCCTGTGAACTGGAGATCTCCTTGACTAAACAACCTCCACAAAAGCATGATCGGATGAGCTTGCCACGTCATGATTCGAGCTCCGTACAATGACTTCCTCGCAAACCTTGAAGATTATGCCTCTAAGGACTACCGAGCTCGTGAGAGAATCGAACATGCGATCAATTGTATGGCTAGTTGATGAAAACATGACTATAACTCGCCTCTAGGTACCTGAAACAGAAGCGAACATGTGTTAGAGTGGTAAACTTATGAATTGTAGCCCTTTCAATTATATTTCTACTAGTTCAAGAATCAGCCCAATCTGAGGGCTACAGCTGAAGTTATGACCAAAATTCTAAAGCACGTCCAAAGATGTTTTTCTTCAGTTCCCAACATACTATTCACGATTTTAAGCCAAGTTTTCACTCTCTTCCAGTCAAAATTAGGAAAAACCCAAAACATGAAAGTTGTAACTCTGTTTCTTAGCTTTCCATAGCTTTTAAATTCAGGTCATTCCGAGTTTCCAAGCTCAAGTTATGCAATTTACGGTCAAAACTGTCATTTATGCTCAAAATCATCGTTTAGGCCTACAAAGAAAAATTAATAGAATTAGATAGCAATTATGACCCAAATTGTATGAGAAATATCCTAAATCCTATCAAAATTCAATGCAAAAGAATAGGGAAAAATATGATTATCAGCAGATGTTGTGTGTGATTTTTACTTCAAGCTTGGAGAATTGCGAGGTTATAGCTCGACCCAAAACTAGTTTGACTCTACCGATTGTCCAACCCAACATAAGCTTGTCAAGTTATAACTCGACCTAGCACAAGCTAGTTGCGACCAGTCCTTACAGTTGCTCAATCAATTCACAAATAACTTCAGATCCCGAATATCTCGGGAAAGATCAAATCGATAGCAATCTTTGCGTAATCACAGCGCTCAATCGTGATAATATCGGAGTTACATTTCAAACTTAATTGTAATCCCTTTATTTTCGCTCTTTCCTTTGTATAAAACATGTATATAAACCCTCTTTAACGATGAGAAAAGGGTCAACAAATTATTCCAAGACTATCATTGTAAGCTCTTACAGCAAATACAAAAACAATAGACAGTGACTCAAGAGTTCAACTCATTGAACCACTTTAAAAATATCTTTGCCATTTACTTTGCTGCATTTATTATTTATTCACTGTTGATTACCCGTAATCACGCACATATCAGTTTTGGTCTCAATAAGGTTGATCGGATCACTCTAGTTGATGCAAAATCTTGTATCAACATGGTTAAATAAAGAATAGGATAAATATGTGCCCTAGTCAATTCCAATTGACTGGACTGCTCTAAAGAACTCCAATCACTCAATTAGATGTACGCAGCAATCACGTTCAAAATGTTTATCATGTGGCTAAGAACAATTGGATCTAAGCAAAGAACCCCTCGGCCCTCACCCACAACATTCTTTGCCAAAGGGCCGAGTAGGTCAAATATAGCAGTTCCAAGTAGCAATATTGTCTTCTGTTCCTCAAACTAGAACATAAAAAAGAATCATAACTGGTATGAGTCTCTTGTTTTCAAAGGCAGAAATTTTGAAATAGTATCAGCACGGTCAACTATATACCCACAAATTAAGCAAAAAACTTCTAGCTTAGAGGAAAAACTGAACTCTGGACAAATAATGTATATTTTTCCATATGGAGCATTTAAAATTACAACTGAAGAGCAAAAGACGTTTGCTGAGTACACTTGCTATAACAAGGTATAGTTTTCTGCTAAAACAATACTTCACTTTCATAAGGCTATGCAAGTAGTCAAAAGCATAAAAAACCTGCTATTGACAGTTAGTCGTGGTATCTGAACCAAATATAGAGCTAAACACCTAGCTACCTGTCAGGAGGCAGCATTCCCCATTCTACTTCTGATTGTAGAGGCTCAAGAATATGCACTCTACCATTTGTAAGCCCCACTGCAATTTGATTGGGTTCAGATGGATGAGCTGCAACAACAAGAGGATAGAGCTCCAAACTGCGAAACATCTTTTGTTAATTAATATGTGGAAGTAATAGACCGAATAGGTTCTATTCATTGTAAGAGAGTTTACCTGGTTGAACTAAGTTGTGCATAAGCAGTGAGATTAATCTGACACCTTAGCTCAAGTGTTTTAGTAGCAAAAACTTTTACGCATCCGCTTTTGCAGCTAACATATATTGCCTTTCCATCGCTAGAATATGTAGCAAATGTGATTGGAAGATCAACTTCTTTAGGCACCAACTGCAGCAGAATCAAATCTAAAATGAAAAAGTTCATAACTACTTGAATGAACATTGTATGGGCTATTTATAGTACCTGCACCATGTGATCCAATGTGGGTGCTTTGTACACATCTATCTGCCTTTCGTGAACAGCAAGTAGATGAACCTGATCTGGATGAAACTGAATGTGATTCACAACAGGGGTTTCTGGCACTAGTCCAACATGAAGGTTCTGCAAAAGCTTACTGCATAGCTTCTTCCATCCATTTACATCCCATACACATAACTGGAAGACAAATGAGCAAACATTTCACATACAAATTCATAAGCACATATCATTGCATTAGGAGAGTATTTGAAGCATCTTTGGTAAGGTGAGGGTGGGACATAGCATAGTCTGACAATTATGTAAACCTGAATCTAATCACTCCAAAAATGAAAGAGTTCATTAAAACATTAGCTTTAAACTAATTTATGAAGAAAAGTATCTATAATATTACATGATACCAATATAAATTTCCACCAGCTGAAGTTTCTATTACAGCGGAAAGAAACTGACCCCAAACAGTAGGGAACGACTTCGGTTGACATGTGCAAACAAACTTGTATAAGTTACCTGGGCATCAGCTCCTGAGGAAACAAGCACATTCAATTTGTAGGAAAATTCAAGGCACGTTATTCGATTTTGATGGCCTTCGAGCTTGGCTTTTGTCTTTGGATACATGAAGCATAGCAACAACCTCAATCTCAAACAAATTAGTATCTTATTAAACAAACAAACCGCAACTTAGTGCATACCATTTTGGTGTAGGGACAGTGAATTAGGATTGAAGAGTCATCTAAGCCAATAGCAAAGAGATCTTGAGGAAGGAAGATAAAATATGTGGCTGTGGGTGGTGGGTTTGCAAATGTTGTCAAAGTCTGCATCAAAATAAATCAAAAGAAATAAGAAATTGTGCCACAAAAATGGTGAATTTAAAAACACAAGTGGACAAATACAAGCATCTACTTGGTATTTTATTTACAGTACCTCAAATGTCTCCAAACTGAATATGGAAATTTTCCCGCCTGATGCAGAGAAAAGATAAGACCCTTTCAGCGCAAAGCATGAAACAGCATTTTTGGAGTGTGCACCTATCTCATTGATCATTATTAATTCACTTGGAGGTTGATATAAATGTGGTTCCACATTAGCAATCGCCTGATGAAAGAATGAAATTTCTGTGAGAACTCATAGGAAACCAAACTAGGACCTTTAATATAGCAGACAAACCTTCCCCGAGAAGCATTTATCACTCCGCCATGTCCAGAGTTTGTGTGTAGCATTCTGCGCTAATGCCAACACGAAATCCCCAGTATATGAATAGATCAACTGGACCACCTAAAAACTATCAAAACTTGATTAAAGTCTACAAAGTAAAAGAATTATATATATATATATATATATAACCATCACAGCTGTCTTCATATCATACTCGTGAAGAAAATTATTTTTTGTTTAATATTCTTCTTGTCTGTATCGAGTCCTTAATTTTCTCTGAGTGGAATAGTACATTATGCAATGACATTTCTATTGAGTCCCTCATAATCATGCAATTAAACCTTTCACTTCTCATTTCATTGAATACAGGACATAGTAGTAATAATCCTTAAATATTGTTAATTTAAAACAGATTTTATATTTCAGGACTGTTTGTGAGTTTATGGTCATACAAATGAAGAAAAATCACCGACCGTTTAAGAAGGATTACGATGATGTGAGTTTAAGGTCTTAGAACAGTAAGCGGTGGTAGAAACACCATCAGTAAGGAACTAGATAGATATTGTATACCTTTTGCTAGATATTCCTGTTTGGGACATAACAGTAGAGTGAATATATTTTTCCAAAACCAAAATTTAGTCTAAATTGTTTTTTAGAACCTTCAGTATGTTCTCCAAGTTGACCTGAAACACACACCACAAAGTTTACCTCTTGATGAATAATTCATGTCAGAATCCACTTAATTCATAAATTAGGCATTACAATTTTTCATTCATTCAGATATTTACACAAAAATCATTAGAACAAACAGATAACACCATGGTATAAGTGACACGACAAGTCATTGGTAAACATCAATGACAGTTAAATGGCGAGGTAGTTTAAAAATGAAAAATGATTCGTAAAATGTTGTAGTCACTCGTAACTTTTAAAGTTATCAAAGAATTAAAACCATGAGAAAAAAACAACTAAATTAAGGGCAACAGTAACTGGCCCGTAAAAAAGTGGATGCATTGCATACCTTTCCTTCCACAGAATTATCAGGGAGCATGAATGTGCGGCATTCAGACGGTTCATTGATCTGTTGCAGCTTCCAAATAACAGATTTTTCTATTGGTTTCAAGCCAACTAGAGAATTTGCATCAGCTAAACGGGAGCTCTCTCTAGACTAAAAGTGAGGAGAAAAAAAGGACAACAAAGAAATATTATCAACTATATAATTGTTCAGCAAATATTAGTTCATGCATCAGCTTAAATAATATCCCAGCTAATAACAAAAACAAGTTCCATGTCACTTACCTGGTTTACATCAGTGCAGCAGCTGCTATCATTAGACTGGAAAAAGAATTTAAACATAAATAGGATAAGGATTTATTTACTAAGAAAGTCTTATGCATTATTACTTTCATGCATGAATATTCACGTACTCCATCACTACTTGGTCCTGATATCCCTTCTGGACTTGAATCATTAGTAACAAAGGATGGAGCATGTAAAAGGTATGGTACAGTGGGAAAATCTTCAAGAGGGATGATGTCATTATTAGCATTAGGCTTTGAATTGACACAATAAGGAACCCACCAGTCCATACTGCAGCACATAGAGAATAGCATTTGGATTAATAACAAGGATTGCAATTGGCATTTAAATAATAACAGATAATATCTTTTGCTTGACTTACAGCTGCCTAACTAATTTTAAGAGTCGTGATTTATCCATGCTGGGAAACTTCAATTTGTCTTGCAAAATTGGGTTTTCCTTGATTAGCACTTCGAGAGCGTCAAATATACAAGTCCTTACAGCATACTCAGACATAAGCTTATTCTTCCTGCAGATAAAATTTTAAAGGAATGAAGGTAATATCTGGAAAATAAGCCTTTCTGTAGCCCAAACATGGAAAGAAGTTTAAATATTTAAATCACCTACCTGCCTACAACTTCAAGGTGATTCTGCTTTCGCATCTCAGAGAACATTTTCATTGAATATTTATTATCATCCATCTTGGTGAATGCTGAGAGGTATTCCTCTGCCTTATCCCACTCAGCACTTATCATATACTCCCTAAAATAATTCATATTGAAGAAGATCTTTGTTTCTTGCTCCAATCTTCAACAAACAGAACCTAAAATCAATCACAAAAATCATGAAGAAATCCAAATATTAAAGAATTGGAAGAATAAAGCATACTTATGAAGTGTCTCCTCGAATCCTTCTTCATCAAGAAACTGAAGTATCAAGTAAACAAGTTCTTCCTGCAGAGAAAGCATTTGTGTCAGATTTGAAGGACTTCAAAAAACTAAATACAAATGAAAGAATCACACAATTTGGATTCACACTCACATCTTCAGAAACACATGAATGGAACAAATTTTCAGAAAAATTATATCAAAATAAAATAAAAATAACAAAATATAGACAGTTGATTGACCTTTACACTTCTTGTTTTCCTTTCAAAACTGCTACAAACGATATTGAGAAGTGACAAGAATGCTGATTTGTTAAGCCTAGGAAACATAAGTTTATTTAGCAAAATGGGATTTCTCTTGACCAATACTGTGAGATCATCATGCAATTTGGCTCTTGAAGTTGTGGTATTAGTATACTGGGATAACTGTTTATTTTCCCTGAAAATTTAACATCCATTAATATTTTGGAAAATTCATATCTTTCATAATAATAATCCAAGTAACTTCAGTCATGCCTTAAATCCTTCAAAGCAAAAAGCTCAGCTAATTCACCAGAGATTGCATTTTCATAAGCAGAAAGCTCTTCCAAATCCTTCTGAAAAATGTTAACAGCCTCAGTACAATCATTTCTGCAAACAGGCAACCAAAAACACAACACAGGAAATATATGAAAACACAAAGGTCAGGCACTGTAAGTGAGTGTGGAAAATAAACTGAAGTATATATTGTCTTTCATGGCACTCCTGAAGAAAACAAAGACTTCAATCCACTGAAGCTGGTTAAACATTCAATACCTCACCCGCTACATAGATAACTACAATCATGGGAAGGAAAAAATGAAAATAAAAGTTAATTATATTGTCATTTTACTCTTTGTCTAAACTCCTGTGGCACCAAATGAAGAGGAAAGAGATGATTGAAACCTACAGTATCCCTCAAAACAGTCTACCAGTGCAGCTATAGCTCTCATATTATCTAAACAGGATTAATTTTAGTTTCCCCAGGAAGCTAAAAACAGAAAACACATGTTTCAGATTTACTTTTATGCTATTTTCCTTTAACTCCTCAACAATTGAACATTTGATAAGTGCTAAATACCACTATTAAAGCTTATACCTGAGCAAGGCTTCGCAATATTTCTGCTTTTGCAACTCAAAGAACAACCTCCTTGAGAACGAATTATCATCCGGCTTTGTGAATGCTGAAAGATACTTCTCTGCCTTCTCCCAGTCACCATTGATAATTGTTTCCCCAAAATAATTCATGTTGAAGAAAATCTTTGACTCTCGCTCCAATCTTCATAAAAAAGAATAATATAAACCACACAAGAAATCAATAACAAGAACTTTGAAAGGATCAAAACGCTATTTGATTTTGATACACATTTCGAACATAACGCAAAATTAGTTGTCAGCATTTTGGAAGCACATATCTTGCTTTAAGTACAATGAAGAATATATATAACATTTCTAAAGAGTGTTTCCTGGTTTTACAAACTAATTTCTCAATAGAAGTTGCGAATTACAAAGTGCCACCAAAAACCAAATAACAATAAAAGCAATATGAAGATCAACGTACGCTTGAAGACTTGCTTTGCAATTCTCTTCCTCCAGAAACTTCATTATCAAGATTATGAGATTTTTGTAAGTTTTCTCGTCAACGCACATTCTCGAAGCATAAAGCAGATGACAAGTCAATTTCTAGGGTTTTTGAGGTTAATTTAAGTTCAGAAATTATGGTTGTAAGAAGTGTATAAATACAGAAGTCAGAGAAACAAAGAGGAAGAAAATGGTAGCGAGTTGTGTTTATATTTTGTTTCAGAAATCAATGAAAACAGACTGAAGTAAGAGAAGATAAGCAGTGACAATTGTCAATTGAGTCTTCGCGCTTTCTACGGTCGATGAATTGTAACCGACCAATGGCTACGATAGTAGATAGTATTTCTACTGTGAGTGATATGTCGGTGCCTTATCATAAGAATGTGTGCTTATATTGGCGCAATTAGCCAACAAGCATACTAAATTTTACAGATGGTGGAGGGAACTATTATTCACCATGATAGAGTAATATTATACCTATTGATTATACATATATATATATATATATATATATATATTTTTTTTATAATTTAATGTAATTTAAATTTATATTAGAAAGTTTTTAAACGAATTTGTTATTATTTTAACGGTTATAAGTTTTATTTATTAATTTTAAGTAACAAGAGAATTTTGGTGTTATAAATTGAACTCAATTTATTTAAATAGGTATCAATCGAAACTAACTAGTTAGCTTCATCAACCAATCTAAATTCAAATTGTTGCAGTGAAAAAACACTTATGAGCATTAAGTTAAGTGTATTAACAAACAATTAACCATAAAATAAGTCATAGATGGGGGTAGGTGATCATTTTGTAGGATTCGAATACAACACCTTTAGATAACTCATCCATATGGTTTACCTGGTCCTTTGGATTTGTAGAGTGTTCAATGGATCTTTAGAGATTAGTTAAGGTGCGTGTAAACTGGCCCGAACACCCTAATTACCGAAAAAAAAAAAAACTCACCCAAATGACTAAAGTCTTATCGTCCAACCATAAAGCTAGTGGTTTTATTAATATTGCTTTTCGGTGTTAATTAGTATATTTTCATTTAAAAATTAGAAAAATGGAAAAGCTATTAAAGTTTTAAAAAATCAACTACCACTTAATGAGGAAGATTAGCTTACAAAATAGCTAGCTAGAGCTAGTCACTGAAATTCGAAAACAAATTAAGGATGAATTTAACAATATATATATGCTCCAGCAGTCTTGTTCTGGCTAGCTCTAGGCTATGCTCTACTCCACACTTTCACTGGTCTCTTCGGTTATTAATTAATACAACCAGTTATTCAAACAAATTAAGTATATCTAAACTATTACATAAAGTCATAAAACCGTATTATCAAATTGAGGAGCCAACCACCCCACTCTTTACTATCTCCAGCCGCTGTACAGACTCCATAAAAGTCCTGAAATATTGCATTAAACTTCTCAAAATTAATTATATTTATTTATCATCATATATAAAAGACAGTGTAAAGTATATATATACTTACTGCCAGGGAACATCTCCTGCAAGCAGCCAATCTCCTGCTTTATCTTGATAGGTCAGTGTGTATGTAACAGTACGTTTGTTACATTTTCCGTCTGTATAGAAATTAATTTGTTAATTAATTAACTAGGTAATTAAGCCTTGTTAGATTAATTAATTAAGAGAACTTACATTTAGCAAACTTGGCGATCAAGGAGTTTGTGAGTGTATAAAAACAGTGATAAAGCTTAAGGTCAATTTTCCTTGCTATTGCTACACCTTCCATCTTCACTTTCACAAACATTGAATTTGATACACCATTTTCCTTCTGATTATTAACTTCAGCCGTCCGATTGTTGTTCTCGATTCTACCAACTTGACCATCCTGCTGTTGTTGTTGTTGGTGGTGGTGGTGAAGTAATTTCCTCCTCCATGACGGAATGGGTGGCCAACCAACAACCAGTTTTTCCTCTTCTTCATTCCTGCCATTAGTTATTTAAATCAATTATGAACATAATGTTGATCTTCAAAATCTTTACAAACTTTACCATACATAATTGATTAATGGATTCAAACTCACTCGTTGATGGGGGAAGAAGTTCTCTTCTTCTGATCATCTTCCTCGTTAGGCTGACCACTCCATAGAAGTAAAGGCATCATTCCTGACTGATGATCATCTCTGATATTGCCAAACGCCTCATCAAAGTTACGCTTGTTCTTAGTAATATTGCTTTTTCCAAAGTTGTTGAGGTCGAAGCCCTTGGTAGGATTGTAGGTTGGGAGGGCAAGTCCTAGTTGTAGCTCCATAGCCATATCAAAGAAGAAGCAAAAGAATATTATTATTGGTTGATCTATCAATAAAATTAAAAAAGAAGAAAAGCAAAAGAGTTGCTAGGTAGTGAATTGGCATAAAGTGAATGAAGTTCTTGGTGGGAGTCGTGAAATATATATATGAGAAGTTAGAGAGAGATTAAATTGATAATTGTCTGACAGAAGAGAAGAAGTAAAGAGACAGCATGGAGGTTGGGTCGGGCAAAAGCCTAGCAGTGACACGGACATGTGAGAAAAGGATGCACCAACGTGCTAGGACCTCTTAGCCCGCTCTCTCTCCATTCTCCAACCGTTAAGTCTTAACCCTCTCTGTCCGCACTCTCACCTACCTTAACCTAACTCTCGCACTCACACTCATTCTTTCTCTTAATTGAAACTTAACCCACCACTGTCTTAATCAAATTGACTAGTAGTTAGTTTCCTACTTAATACAAAGCATCATGACTAATCATTTCCGTTTGAAACACACAGAAACTACTAATAATCAAAACGTTTACTTTTAGTCGTCCCCCGTGAAACACATATATATATATATATATATATATAGAGAGAGAGAGAGAGAGAGAGAGAGAGAGAGAGAGAGAGCTGTCCACATTAGTTTATTATTTGTAAACAGAGTTCGAATATGTGTCGGCAGATGCCCCTCAAAACACATCATGATACATGAACTCAAGCAATGAAGAAACTCGATCTCCATAACAGTTGGTACTAAAACATTCTCCTGATCTTCTTGATTATTATTGTGCGAGAAATCTAGAGAAGATAATTTCTTATTAAGAGAGAAGATATTTAATTAACTCAATTTGAAAAAAAGATATTCAGATTGACTTAGATTTTAATTAAAGTAGTCGAAGATCGTGCAACTTCCTAATCTTACGTATTTGAATCTTACTTCAACTCTATCATGTAAATGAGTGCTATATAAACCCATCATAGCTTGTTTTCAAGAGAATTGTGCAATTGTTCTATAAAAATATTCATTATTTGTAATTCTCATTCAATAAGAGAAACAGTGGACGTAAGCTCAAATTTTAACTTGTCGAACCACTTTAAAAATTGTCTTTTGTCATTAATTGTATTTTCTCTTTAATTATTAAATCGTTGATTTTCATTAAATCATGCACACATCCATTCCGATTCCGACAAGGTTAATCAGAATTATCTGATTAGTACAGATTTTTGTATCAACATTTTGGCACTAGAAGGAGGGCTTGAACACTTTGACCTCTCTCTGTTTTCAAGCAGTTTCTTTTCCATCTTCCAACCGCAAAAAAAAAATCAACCATGGTTACAATCCATGTCATCAAATCAAACTCTAGAATCAAAGCTGCTGATAGATGGGGAGTATTGAGCATTATAAAGTATGAGTTTGGCAAAGTGGTAAACATAAGAGTTGTAGATCTTCGAGTAAGCTTTCTAACGGTTTAAGAATTATTTGAATCCGATATCTGCAGCTCAAGTTATTATCAAGATATTGAAGCATATTTCTCATATTAAGCTCTCCATGCTTTTTGATTGAGCTATGCTCTCAGATGAAACTCTCCATGCTTTCTGATCGAGCTATGCTCTTAGATCAAACTCTCTATGCTTTCTAATCGAGCTATGCTCTTAGATGAAGTTCTTCATGCTTTTTGATCGAGCTATGCTCTTATATCAAGCTCTCTATACTTTCTAATTGAGTTATGCTCTCAAATCAAGCTCTCCATGCTTTCTGATCGAGCTATGCTCTCAAATGAAGCTCTTCATGCTTTTTGATCGAGCTATGCTCTCAGATCAAGCTCTCCATGCTTTCTAATCGAACTATACTTTCAGATCAAGCTCTCCATATTTTTTTATCGGGCTATGCTCTCAGATGAAACTCTTCATACTTTCTGATTGAGCTATGCTCTCAGATGAAGCTCTCCATGCTTTCTGATCGAGCTATGCTCTTCAGATGAAACTCTCCAGGTTTCTGATCGAGCTATGCTCTCAGATGAAGCTCTCCATGCTTTTTGATCAAGCTATGCTCTTTAGATGAAACTCTCCATGCTTTCTGATCAAGCTATGCTCTCAGATGAAACTCTCCATGCTTTTTGATTGAGCTATGCTCTCAGATCAAGCTTTTCACGCTTTCTAATCGAACTCCTCACGCTCTCAGATCGAGCTCTTTATGCTATTTGATCGAGCTTTTTATGTTCTCAGATCGAGCTCTTTATGTTCTCAGATCGAGCTCATAAGGTCGCTCATTCGCTTGAGATCACGTGTTTAAGATCTCTTAAATCTCTTCGATCGCACTAAGCATAATTCAAGCTCTTTAGTTCGAGACTGCAGCCTATAGTGCGACAGCAATTCAGGTTAAAGAAATGAGTTTTTTAAGCCCGATTATGCACTCCAAAAACTGGGGGGCTATTGTTGTGTGGAAAATCCGGAAAGGATAATTCCCTATTAGGAGAGAAGATATTTAGATTGACTCAATTTGGAAGAAAGATATTCAGATTGACTTATATTCCAACTAAGGTAGCCAAAGATCATGTAACTTCCAAATCGTATGTATTTGAATCTTTCCTCAACTCTACCATGTAAATGTGTGATATATAAACCCATCATAACTTGTTTTCAATGGGGCTGGGCAATAATTCTAGGAAAAAATTCATCATTTGTAATTCTCATTCAATAAGAGAAATAATTGACGTATGCTCAAGTTCTAACTTGCCGAACAACTTTAAAAATTGCCTCTTATCATTACTTGTATTTTTATTTTCTGTTTAATTATTCAATTATTGATTTTCATTAAATCACGCGTACATCTATTCTAGTTTCGACAAGGTCAATCAGAATTATTTGATTAGTGCAGATTTTTGTAACAACAAATATAATTATGTTAATTCTCAAACACTCCTATAATCTCTTAAGATTAAAATATTAGAGATTCTTTTGGTCGGAGAGAAATGAGAATGAAGTTGGACAAAGCCAACCAACAAAATATATTACGTTTGGTAAGTGTTTTTTTTTTATTTTTTATTTTTAATTTTCTTGTGGTGATTAATTGGATGAATGCTTGCATGTAGGGTTTCAATATTCCATATTCCATGAAAGCACTTGGTACATGTTTGGAACATGCAATTGTTAACCTCGTGAAATCCACGTGATGGACAGTGTGGGCACACACGACATATCTAGAACCCGTAACCCGCACGGCCATGGCGTGGTTTCGACACGATTTCAAAGCAGCTATCGGAATACTCTTCGATTAGTCCCATCAATCTGGCCTCTAGCTCCTACGATCCTGAGGTGGAACCCAACAAATGCGACCAGATTGTACCCATAATTTACTGCACCTTTAGTTGGCACTCTATCAATTCAAACCCATTGTGGTACAAGTTATGTGAATTGATAATGTGAATGGAATATGGATCGTCAGAATTAATGTTTGAGGTAGTGAAAAAGCGAGTGAATTTGGTTTAAGTTTGAACAAGTGGATGTAGAGCAATTATGGCGAAAGCTTTATTGCCTTGGTCACCCATTTGAATCCGGATCTTAGGTAGACTGAATTAAGTTATTTTAACGAAACTTCAACAAGAAGGAAAAAAGTAGTCAATTAAACCTGCTAAGAGAAGCTAAATCAATGATCACATTGGAATTATTATGTAAATCTCCACTATCCTTGTTTAAACCAAAAAAAAGTTTTAACGTGTTTGAATACAGTTGACGTAATTGGGCCAAGCAAGTAATAATAATTCACCATTTAGATGAAGAAATGAAAATAGAATTATGTCCCACACGTTTTGAAAGCAAGTGGGGGACGATTTTTTTTTTTTTTTTTGTTAGCCAAGAAGCTATGGCGGTTCATTCCTGTTCTTTATCTCTCTCAGAGGTCCCTCTCATAGTAGTCATAGGGAAGGGGATCAAAGCATCCCAAGCATTAAAGTCATCTGCTTTTACTTTGCTTTCAGGATAAGAAAACTCTTGAAAGATAGAGACCCATACTTACATATTCAAAGTATTCATTCACTCAACACTCTCTCTTTCAACAACCGAACCCAACCAATCTCATTCTCATCTTATTGTTTGCGACATTGATGGTAAATGTCCGCGAAATTGCTTACTGGGTTCAAAGACAAGCCACACGTGGGCGCATTTAATGGCCTGCTTCTTTGGAATCTAATCGGCGAGACCCACCATTCAATTTCATGGATCGATTGTGGGTAAAGTTTGTTTTGTTCTTTTAATACTCCTGTTTAATTCAAAGTCCAATGTTAAAAGTTTACAGTGCATGTGATCAAAGATCAATCTAATTTACAAAATGTCTAATCTTTTGCAACCAGCCGCCAAAAAAAAACGACGTTTCGTTGAGGTTGTCAAGCACAAACACAAGCAAAATCATTTTGTTTTGTTTCCACGTATCATTTGGATTAATTCGACCGTCAAACTCAAATACACAGTTGCCTTTGCATGATTATCACATGGCCACACACTTTCACAATTCTTTGTGTTCCCCTAAACAATTGGGTATTTTATTTATTAATTAATTATTATTATAAAAATTTATGATGATCGAATAAAATAAAATATGATCATATCTGTAGTAATTAAACGTTCAAATTAAAGTATAATATAATAACTTATTTAATTCGTTTTCCACATTAAAAGCAAATGTATTGTGCACAGTATACCTGCGAGCCTGCGACTCATCGACTCATTAAGTTTCTGAACTTTTAAACGACGTCGTTTGAACTTTCACAAGCGCAAAACTAGAGCGCGCTAACTCCTCTTGTTTGTGGGCCAAAAGCCTAGAGAATTGACTGACTCAACGAACGACCTGTGAAGTGTGAAGTTCATAGCCCAGGCGATACGGATCAAAGGTTTAAACCACTGTTGTTAATTCACATTTCAAAAACGCTAAAATTCTTGAGCCAGAGACAATAGAGTCTCTGATGGCATTTAATTCCTCAAAAAATCCTGTACTGCCAGTGGTGGATTCTCCAAGAGACGAAGAGAAAGAGAGACTTCTTAAAGGCGATGAAAAACTCTTCCAAGGATCCGCCATGACCAAAAGAGGAGCCAATGCTGCAATCTCTTATATGTCTTGTGCAGGTACTTTCTTATGATCAATTCTCCTCATTCTTTTCAATTATCATTATTATTTGCTTCTATTTAGGGTTCATACTTAAGCGTATTCGATGTATTCCATGAAATTAGGTTGACAATTTGAAATGTTACTTGAATTGATAAACTGCTCTGTTTGAGTAATCCGGTAACTATTCTCTTAATGTTTTACGTGTACGGTTTCATTTCCATCAATGACCATAATTAGACACCATATAGTTTGATCTGAATCCTTTAAATTTTGGCTTCTACTGAGACGTGTAATAAAGTTTTCCGGAATTTCAATTTCCTAAGTTTAATTCTGTGGGACAGTAGATATGTAGTTTGTTTTTCATCCTATATACTTATCTTATGTTACCTTACGTTGCATATTCTAATAGTTGTAATATGTTTTAGATGTTGATAGGGTGAGATTTGATAATAAGTATTAGTTTTAGAAGCTAAGATTTATCTCTTTAAGCTGTGAAACCACTATTACGAAGAGTGGTTTTGAAATAAAGGTTTTCCTATCTTTTATTGATAATCTATTTGGTACTAGAATTACCTATATGGATTATTGAGTCTTAACCCTGCAGTCTTTTGCCTCTTTTTCCTTCTGTGTTTAAGATGCAAGGTGCATGTATTGTTGTTCCATATATGCTAATAATGCAAAATCTTTTCTATGAAAGTAAAGGAGATGTGAGTTTTGTTAGATAAAGTGTTTGGGAGATATGTGCAAGTATTATTTTTGTGCCCTATATGCTTTTTTTTTTTTGGTGTTTCTATGTTTCTGCCATTACATGTGTTCGTTTTATTTCTGCAGTGCTCCTGATATTATTCAACAAGGCAGCTCTTTCTTCTTATAGTTTCCCATCTGCAAATGTCATAACCCTTCTTCAGGTAGATCCCTCTGCAGTGTTCTTATGTTCTTTCTCATTAATGTTTTTCAACTGCTCAGTTTTTTATCCAAAGTAATATTGATGTTTGTAAGCACTAAATTGTTTCTGTATTTTTCTTCATCATTTATATGTTACAGAAGTGGTAAGTTTATCATTCATTGTTTTCCCTTTTGGAAGAAATCAATCTAAATATATTGAAAAGGGAAAAAGTAAAGAGCAATGGATTACCTATATTACTGGTATAGGGACCTTGTACCTTTATATCTTAAACTTTGGCAGAATATCTTCCAATAATCTCTGGACTGAACAGCCTGTAACATAGCAAACCTTGAGCTTAGAAAACTAAAAGTATCCCACGCTCATATCAACTAATTTGGATTCAAATGAACCTTGACCATAGTAACAGTAATACCAAGCAAGCCTCAACATTGATGTTACCTAAGCTCTTTTCCTGATGTCTGATCTATGAATCCTTCTTCTTTATGCCTACGGAAAAAGATCATGTATGTTGTAAGGTTTAAAATGTCACTGGACTAATTAACATTATCTGCTTTTACACTGGTTTCCTGTGTGCGCTTGCTAGCCATGCTATTTAAAATACTTTATCGCACATTCATGTTTAATGTCTATTTTAACATTTGCAGAAGAAGTGTATCAATATGTATTATGATCATTTCCAATTTGTATAATTGTATAATATTTCCTGCAGATGGTATGTTCTTGCTTGTTTCTCTACCTGTTGAGACGCTGGAAGATTATTACTTTCTATGTGGGTGAATCTTTGCCGACTTCTGATAATAACTCAAACTTTATAGCCTTTAAGACATTGATGCACACCCTTCCTCTGGCAGCAACCTATTTGTTTTACATGGTATGTGTTTTATGATCTTTGCTATATAACATTGAACAGTTTTAGTGGTTGCTAATACATATCAGGCTTTTCGTTGTAACTTATTGTGCCCATTCTCCTATTTCTCTTTGGAAGGTAGTCTCTGTCGAGTCTGTTCGTGGAGTAAATGTTCCCATGTACACCACTCTTCGGCGTACTACAGTGGCATTTACTATGATAGTGGAGTATGTTCTGGCTCGGCAAAGATACACACCTCCTATCATTGGGAGGTAAATAGCCTTTTTGCACTTTTTCTTGTAGTATTTGGTTGCTGGTTATGAAGAATGCGCATGGCTGTTTTGAGTTTATGTCTCTACTAAAGCTGCATGACATGTTTGAGATATTGGACTTGATGAACTCCCTTGATTTGGTTACTAGGGATATCTTACTGCATAATGTATTAGTGTAAACTATTTGTCGATTTTTTTTTTAAATCAGATGAAATGCATGTAGGATTTTGAGTAGTTAAAGTGGTTTACAGAGCATGTAATATTGTCTCATACATAAAACAATAAGATGCTTAGTTGAATAATTTCTTGTTAAGTAGTTGGAGGACGATGGAAAGAATTCCTCTCAAAAAGGCCAATTCTCTTTTCTGAATCTAATATATGATCATATTTATGACCTCTAATAGTGCTATTTATATAAGTATATCATTCTGGGAGTTTGACCACTGGTTATTAAGAATATGTTCAATATGTAATTTAATTTACAGGAAAAAAGTTATGAGATTTAAAAAAAAAAAAAAAAAAAAAAAAATTGTTTGAAATGCAATGTTTCTGATTCCCTCACTCAACTGAAAAATTTTAAGGATGTTATCAGTGTTGGGTTGATAATTCTTGGTGCATTCGTTGCTGGAGCTCGGGATTTGTCATTTGACTTCTATGGCTATGCAGTTGTTTTCTTAGCCAACATTGCAACAGCAATATATCTTGCCACCATAGCCCGGATTGGTAGTACTCACACTTATTTGTTATCGAAGTATCTTTCTTTTTCATTTCCTCTTCACTAGCTTGAACTTTTTCTTAGATAATTTTCTAAAGTTGTCATTTTTTTTTTTTTTTCTCAGGGAAGTCCAGTGGCCTTAATAGCTTTGGTCTTATGTGGTGCAATGGTAATCTTTAGATCATAACTTGCATGCCTTCAGATTTATTTTTCTCTCATAATTATGTAGTCTGAGTTCCAGTTCTGATATGAAATCCAATTGCTTTTCTATGTTAGGAGTCATATGCGGCCCATTTTTGTTCTTTTGGACACTTATTCGTGGTGACTTGAAGATGACAATACATTTTCCTTATCTGTTTTCACCTGGCTTCTTGGTACCGTCTGCTCATCCATAGAAATTAGTTTCTTCAATATAAGTATTAACTTCATGCTTAGAAATTCTGCTTTTTATAAGCCAGGTTACTTCTTTAATAATGTCATAACTCAAGATAAGATTGCTCTGTTTCATCCTCTGTGGGCAGATTGTGCTACTTCTCTCCTGTACACTGGCCTTCTTTTTGAACTACAGTATATTTCTGAACACAACTCTTAATTCAGCGCTTACACAGACAATTTGTGGTAATCTGAAGGTTCGTTGAACACTTACTTCTCTTTACCTGGATTATTAAATGTAGCCTGTGCACTATGACAGCCTGAGGACGGCAATGCTCCTCATTGTCTGCTTAGAGTTGGCACATAGATAAATTTTGAAATATTTGAAGCTTGGGAACTTCCTGAATGAATCTAGAATATGGTAGACTATGATAATAGAGCCTGAAATGTTTTAAAGATGAGAACTACTCTGATATTAACACTTTTATATTTTGTCCTGTCTCAAAAAACACAAAGTTTGGCTGCTCAACTGAAATTATTAGGTTTTAGAAACATTTTCTGTGGTGGGTTATATGTATGATTAAGGTATGGAAGGATCAAATGGCAATGATGAAAGGGATCATATTATTGGTCTTTTATGTAACATAAATGATTGAGTAAAAGGGAGTGGGCGGTGTTGTGACAGAAAATTTGGACTTGTTGGGTCCAAATTACTCATACTTTGAATTTCTTTGAAATGCAAATGAATATGCGGTCATTTCTTAGTGCTAAAACGTTGAATAAGGATACAACATGGGCTTTTAAACAAATCATCCCTCAGCTGGTAAAAAACAAAAAATTTATCCTTAATTGCTTGGTTCCACAGCAGGTGGTTTATGCCAAATCTTTGCTTGTTTGATGCTTGTTTGCCATGATTTTTTTACAACTTTGGTATAAAGCCCCAATGAATAGGGGAGCATCCTTCCTCTACTTGCTTTTGCATTTATAGTCTTGTGTTGCTGTAGGACCTTTTTACAATTGGACTTGGCTGGATACTTTTTGGTGGGCTCCCATTTGATATTGTAAGTGGCTGAATCCTACTGCTAATCATTTCTGGGTGCATCCTTCAAATACTTGATTTTCTGATGAGCATGGTTTGTTTTGCTGCAGGTGAATGTTACTGGGCAATCTCTTGGTTTTCTTGGCTCTGGTTTGTATGCCTACTATAAACTTGTAGGGAAGTAAGTAATTGTCCATGTCAATTGTCCATGTCACGCAACAGCGAATACCTTATTGAAGATTAACATTAACTACCTACAGTAGCCGTGTTACCAAATCTGATTGACAGCTTCGTGGTCTCTAAAAGAGATGCAATTTCTGTATAGGAGATTATTGCCTGGCGCGAAGCGCATTACAAATTTTTTGAGGGAAATACAGTCTGGATAACCCTTGGTGTTATATTTTCGAAGTTAATGCCATTGTAAATGATGATCTCCTATTATCCCTCTTTTTTCTTCTTTTCTTTTACCTCCGTTAAGGTTAACACTAACAGGCTTGAAAAGAATTAGTTAGTTCAGGTACAACAAATCATACAATATTTCACTTGTTTGGGTCGGTTTTGTTGGTAGATTACAGTGTTTAACTTTGCGTTAGTTTCAAATTTCAAAGGGCTTCTGTCAGACTTTAGGTTTATTGCCAAATTGGATTCAGTTGAATTAATTTGGGACGAGCATGCCTTTATCTTTTATTATTTAAGTCATGGAAATGGATTCATGGGTTTGATAAATGAATTTGAACTCTTATTTATTTTTTCTTAATGTCCATTTGTATGAGGGCAGGGTTGTGGTGAGCCCGAGTTTTTTGTGTAAAATTTTAAGTATCAATTTATTCATTAATACTTTTCCTATGTAATTAAGAATCTTGAATACTACATATATAGAAAAGAAGAGTGAAAAGCGCTTAATATTTTTTCAGTTGATCAAAATATAATTCTTGAGATTTATATTGCATTCAAATTATAAGCATTTATTATTCAAAATTTGGAGGTATTTGGGATCCAGTTTTGCTTCAGGAAACAATAGACTCCATAGATAAAATTTATTATTGAACAAACTTGTAAATTTGTAGTCACTTTCAAACGTTAATGCTTATTTTATCGCCAATAAATTTAATTTGTTTAAGGTGAAAAAAACCAAATATTCTAATCAAATGCCAGAGCAATATAATTAAAACTTCAAGCAGAAGATCCAAAAGATTAAGAATGATAAAAATAAGATTCGCCTTAACATGATAACAACGTGATTTGAGAATTAAGATCTGGGTTTGGTTTTCCCAAGGCAACAGAAGAAGGTGGTTTCGTTTTCTCATAAGGTTATATAAACCCAATTTTCATACAGATTGAGTAAACAAACCTATTGCAGACTTGGAGATTACAACCTTTTATTTAAAACTAAGTCAGATCAAATTCCGATGAAGCATATATTATTTAGTTTTGGAATAAAAAATTATATATTTCTTGTTTTTTTTAATCTTTAATATAATGTGTTATCCATGGCTAAAACAATTTAATTAATTAATCATTATTGATTGAAGAAAACAAATTATTTTATGTTAGGTTAAAAGTTAATTAATTGATTTAAATTATTTCCTAGTAGTCAATTAAATTGACTAATTTTGGTTAATAGTCAAATTAGAGAAATTGAATTTCTTTTTCATTTATTAGGCTGTAATTAATTCAAATTTGGGCGACACAGTTGGAGGCGCGTGAAATTTTTGTAACTCTTAACTGTCTTCAACCCCTAAAACTAAAACCTTCGAGCATTCGAACCAGAAATTCAATTCTATTCTATTCACAGAATCTCCACCGACACAAGCTTCATTATTGCTCTAACCAATGCCCAAACCCTAGCTCCCTTTTACTTTCTTCAACATTATGCGTGTTCCTTTTTCCTAAGAATATGTTTCTCTCTTCTTTCTTTATAACCAAACAAACTTCATCATAAAACTTTCATGAAATAGATTGCAAATCTAATTTTCCTTTTCCTTTTTTAAGTTTTTACAATATGTTGAGGATTGCAATGGATGAGTTTTCTCCGAGGTTCTCTGTTGATTCGCCGCGTAAATCCAGTTCATTGTCGTTTTCGTCTTTCATGATCGATGGTCTTTCTCGGAAAAGTTTTTCTTACTATAAACTTCCTGACGACCCTCTCAAGCTTTCTGTTAGCAAATTGGACGGCTCTTGCTTTGGTAATTTTCTTTATTTTTATTATTATTATCTGTTTGGTTTCTGAGAAGATTGTTTTATAGGCTACTAAGGCCTCTTTGGTTTCTAACAATTACCTGTTTGGGCATTTGCAAGTAAAATCGTTTTTTCGAACAAGGAAAATGTATAATGACATTCAATTGATTGAGATTTTATGATTAATTGACAGACATTGAAGTTATGAAGACGGCTACAATTGCAGAACTCAAGGAGGCGGTGGAGGCTGTATTTAGTCACATGCCGAAAAAGGGACCAGGCAAGATTTCATGGTATGTTTATTCATTTATGAGGCAATTTCCTCATTGTCATCTGATATATTCTTTTTTTGAGGTTGTTTGTTTGTATATTATGGACGTTTAATTGTATTTTTTATTATATGGTTTATGTAGGCCGCATGTTTGGGGACATTTCTGCCTATGCTTTGAAAGTCAAAACTTAGTAACAGACACCGATTATATAAAAAATTACGGCATTAAAGATGGTGATCAGGTGTGTGACCGGCTTCCTTTGAGTTTTTTGTTCGAAGATATTTGTCTGAGAGTTTGTTTCTGCATTATGATGATTTTAAAGTTGTTGGGTGGCTCTTTAAAGTTTCTCTTAATCTACTGCTAAGAAGACGTGAAAAGAAAATTAAGAATCATATTTTGAAGCTTTTTTCATTTCCATTATGATGATAAATTTAGTAGGTTTTGGGTAATAGAAACATTGATAGGAAGTAAAAAGGAACAACTGTTGAATAATCTTCACAGTTTCTGGATTGGATTGTCTCCTGTTCAGAAATTCCAGTGAAGTTGTCGTGTTTGAACCAGCTTTCAATGAAACAATGGCATATGAATCCCACAAATTAGATGAACATGGAACAACAAAACCTAAGATGTTGAAAACCAGTGCACATAACTATGTTTGTAATAGAGTTGATGAGCTAATTATAATCCCTTTGTTATTGTGCATTAATCATGGTTGACATAGACAGCAGTTGGCTTTAACTTCCACCATGTTAATTGTTTGTGTTTTGGTATCCTACAGCTTCAGTTTATCCGCCATCTCTCAACCAGCTGCAATATGGTAAAGCTACAATCTAAGAAACAGGCATCTACTTCAAAACATCAAAATATGTAAGAATCTCAATGACCTTTAATCTTTCATCAACTCTTATTATAAGCAAATATCATTTTAATCTGCAAGCAACATGCAAAGGTTCTGCATCTTATCACACTGACAAAGCAAATATCGCACAAACATGACTGCATTACCTGTTTTCTGAATAACATAGATTACATCCTGCTATAGGTAAATCTGGAAATTAGAATATGTGAATACTGCAGCATAGCTAAACATCTCAGAAACCTTATTTCTTAATTAGTTGGTATAATTAACAATTGGATATGTGCCTTGTTCTGTAAAATGTAACAGAACTTACTAATTCATTCATTAATCTGTCATTGTTTTTCCCTCACCCATAGAAACTGAAGATGATATGATTTTGGATATGATAGATCAACATCACGATCAAATAGCTATAAAGCGAAAGAGCAAGAGCAACCGAAGGACAAGGTTGACTATGATTGGGATGATATGGAGAATGGAAAGTACCAGCACTTTGACAACAAGGACGAGAGTTTTACTGGGCAAAATGAATCGAGACTGGCGAATTTTGTGAGGGGGTGGTTCTCATACTCCAGATTGGTGAGCGTGGGACAGAAAGGCAAGTCTTATCCATCAAGATACATTTGTGGTGCCTTGTCGCCCTTGTGCAGTTTTAGAAAAATTATACAACTTTATGATGGTAACCAGTATTCCCGAATAGATAAAAGTAGAGAGGACTAGTGATTGGCTAAATGCATCGTTGCTACTCTTTGCCTGAGTTGGTTTTTTGGGTGTGAACTTTGGGATTCCACCTGAGCGGCATTCTTCCTCAAAGTACTTACTGCTTGCTGTACAAGAATGTTTTCTTGTAAAAATATCGATTACAGATCAGAATTAGCCCATATCATGGGTTGTTGCAGGCTACATGGGTGATGAATTATTTAATACTTCATCCATGTAACGAATACAACAGTTAAAATTTCATTCTGTTCACTTATATCGAATCTGAGTTTAGGATTCATGTTCATTGCCTTTCAGTCTACTTCAATCATCTTGGGGAAATTTTCCCTTTTTTCCCCTTAATAAGATGAAAAATTATCCCAGTCCAACTCAATTTGTATTATTTACATATGAATATATATTTGTGCAGTCCTTCTCTCTGGTGTATGTTGAGATTTATGCATGAATTGATTAAAGAGAATATTGTGTGAGAGATTTAAGGTTATGCTGTTATTCATTCCTATTCTTTGTTCATTATAGAAGGATGCTGAACTTTTTAATTCGTGCGGTGTTGGCGAGCCGGCGGTGTGAAGTGAAGGCTTGTTGGGCCTGTGAACTGACCCTGGCCCAATAAATAGAAAGAAAGGGTGCAGAAACACACACGCAGCGCACGTGCGCATCCAACTTCTTCTTCTGTCCATCACAGCCTCATCATTTTGTGTGGCAAAGAATGAGATGAGATAACGCTTCTTTGAGTCTTTCCAAACAATCTCCATCTCCATCTTCACTTCCTCCAAAAGATCACAAACATTAACACAAACAAAACACTTTCAGAAAACAGAACTCATTCTCAGCCATGGCTAACATGATCATGGCATCCTCCAATGCCAAACCCCTCATTTCACCGGTCTACACCAGACCCAAATTCATCCAATTTCCACAACCCCAACTTTCTCTCCCCAAACTCTCCCCCCAACAAATCCCTAAAAAACTCCTCTCTCTCTCTTCCTCCACTCTCAAATCCCTCTCTCTCCTCGCCGTCACATCCTTAACTTTTACACCTCCTTCTTTGGCCGCCGAAATCGAAAAGGCCGCACTTTTTGATTTCAACTTAACTCTACCAATCATCATGGTTGAATTCTTGCTCCTCATGTTCGCTCTCGACAAAATTTACTACACTCCACTAGGCAAGTTCATGGATGAGAGAGACGCCGCTATTAAAGAGAAGCTTAACAGCGTAAAGGACACTTCTGAGGAGGTGAAGCAGTTGGAGGAACAAGCTGCTGCCATAATGAGAGCTGCGAGAGCTGAAATATCAGCGGCTTTGAGTAAGATGAAGAAGGAGACAGAGTTGGAAGTTGAGCAGAAACTGGCTGAAGGAAGAAAGAAAATTGAGGCAGAGCTTCAGGAGGCTTTGGCTAATTTGGAGAAGCAAAAGGAAGACACTGTTAAGTCTCTTGATTCTCAAATTGCTGCTCTTAGCCAAAACATTGTGAACAAGGTCCTTCCTGTTCAATAAATTGTTTATTGTGTTTTTGAGTTGTCTTGATTTCTGTAATCAAACAATGTAAGTGTAATAATACACACCTCTCTTCTCCTCTCATAATTCTTATTATTCCTTGTTTTATTACTGAGTTATCTAATTATATGCTGAAATCAGAGCCAAAAATGAAACTTGTGATTGTTGATTATATGCTTCATATGGTTCCATTTATGTGGATGGCTTGTTAAGAAATTATACCTCTTTTTTGGTTTCTTTTCATGAAAAGTTGACACTATATATTTCTTCTCTTAAACAAAAATCAGTTTTGTCTGCTATATGATATGACTGCTTCAAAATTGTACTTGGTTGGAAGGAATTGGAAATTTGGAACCAAGCAATGAAATTAATGGGATTTGGTGGGAATTTTTTTCTGCAACTTTCAGCTGAGGAACCAACCAGAACCAGATCCAGATAGGTAGTACTGAGAAATATAAGTTGGAAAATCTTTTTCAAGGTCTTATAATGGCTGCTCGTAGTCATAGAAGCTCTGTGACAGAGTCGAAAATTCACTGCAATCTTGGAGCCATGCAATGCGAGTGAAATGAATTGCATATGTATGTGGATTGTGGAGGAAAAAGACTGAAAAATAGGAGACAGATAACGCTTCTTTTTTTGTTAATAGAAATAGGTAACTCTGAAACCATAATTAACATTTGAGTCTATATCACAACAAATAAAACAAGCAGCAGCAGCATGTCACTCACTTAATTTCTTGGCTAAGTTCGTGCGGTTTAACACTTCGGAAATGTGTTAAGCAGCCTAACACTCACACAAACTCAAAGACTAACAGTATGCGAATCAGAAGGATAAGTGTAGGGAAAATGTAAACTATATATTGAGGGATTACAACTTATGAACTTGACAAAGTGGAGTGACTTATTTATAGACTAAACCTCATCAAGGAATTTGACTAGATACAATGTATACCTAATCCTTAAGTAACTCTAACTGGCAACCTTAGGTGGCAACTTTGGGAATGATGAAGCTTAGCCATGAAGTTAATTTAGCCACTAAGTATGCTTAACCTTGAAGTTAACTTAACCATTAAGCAACTTGCAGCGTACTTGAGTCGCCAAATATTGTGACGCCCTCGTCGTACTATCCTTATAGTGCAGGATTGAGTCTTGGAATTGCCATAATGAGTCTTCGGTCTCCCAACTAGCTTCGGCATTGGGAAGTCCTTTCCATTTGCTGAAGTATTCCCGGTAATTTGGCACACCACGTCGGCAAATGACTCTATCAACAAGCATTTCTTCAACTTCCTTGTCAAAGGATGTTTCCACGGCTGTTGGTGCTCGTTTAGAGACTCCTCGGGATGGCTCCTTCGGGTCTTCATGGAATGGCTTTAGCAAGCTTACATGAAAGACTGGGTGTATCTTCAATTTCGGAGGAAGTTGGAGTCAATACGAAACTTTGCCGATGCGTTGTATCACTGGAAAGGGCCCTTCATATTTGCGCACTAGGCCTTTGTGCACATTTCTTAGTGTCTTGAATTGTTGGGGCAGTAACTTTACAAGGACAGGGTCACCTTCTTGGAACTCAACGTGCCTCATTTTCTTCTCCTCCACCACAGCCTTGCGGTGTCCGTGAGATAGAGGACTGCTGTCTCAATCCTAGAGCTCTCCTCCATGACGCCTACAGCCCCAAAATACTTGTCTAGTCCCCACAAGAAGTTGTCAACTTTTTGTGCCTTGCGTGAGCCACCAAAGCTTTTAGGCCTTGGGACGTCAATCCTTTAGCTTTCAATGACGTTGCTGTTGATCCTTGCAACCATGGTGCGCTTGCATCGCGCTAAATCAGCTTGCACCTAGTCTAAGCGAACAAGAGTGTTGTTGACTTCGGTTTGGAACACATGACAAGTCTTGGCAAGCTCCCCTACGAACTCCTCACGGATTTCCCCATTTCGGTCCTTAACGACTCCTCCAATTGAAGCAACATGGCTTTCATTGACAGTATGGGTTTCGGTAACCTCCGTCTTAAATCATCCACCCGATGATCTAGCTCTTCCGACTGCTGCTCACCCTTTCTTCTACACAATAGGCGTGAGTCAAAATTGGAAATAAGTCTTTGGACTTACCTCTCTGCCTTGAGGGGTTGGGATTGGGGTCGACTCTCTCTGGACGACCACATTCTTCGGAAGTCTCCATCTCAGCCGTCTTGGATCCTTTTGTTGAAACGACAGTATCTTTTGCCATCGAATAAAAACCGAGGTTATGTCACCGAGGCTCTGATACCACTTGTCATACACTTAATTTCTTGGCTAAGTTTGTGCGGCCTTAACACTTCGAAAATTGTGTTAGAAGCCTAACACTCGCACAAACTCAAAGACTAATAGATGCGAATGAGAATGATAGTATAGAGAAAAATAAACTCTTATTGAAGGATTACACTTATGAACTTTACAAAGTGAGTGGCCTATTTATAGGCTAAACCTCCTCAAGGAATTTGACTAGATACAATGTATATTTAATCCTTAAGTAACTCTAGGTGACAACCTTAGATGGCAATTTTAGGATTGACAAAGCTTATTCATGAGTTAACTTAGCCACTAAATATGCTTAACTTTGAAGTTAACTTAACCATTAAATGAACATGCAGCGTACATGAGTTGCCAAGCAAGCTGTTGGGACAAGCGCTATGTAAAGAGTGGGAGAAAGAGGGAGAATTTGAATGAAAGTCGCAAGTCTTGGTCTCTTAGTTGGAAAGGAAAAAATGCACTTATTTTAAGGGAAAATTGGTCTTTGATGATCACTACTACAGTTTAAAAGTTTTCTGCTAAGGGAAGTTATAATTTCACACCTCAAAGACTTGACCATTGATAATATATATATAATAATAACGCTGATTATATAATATGTATATTAATCTCCTGCAAATATTACATTATCAATCAACTCTTCTTTCATGGAATTTAAGGCAACTTCACTAGAAAAGTGGATGCCACCGTGCTAACGAAACGGTCCTGTATCTTTATCGTGCTCTACAGACTACAACATTCTCTTTTGTACAAGTAACGCTATCTGATCGAATTATAGTCCTTTCTTCTACAGTTCTCATCACCTTCACCGTCTCTGCTTTTTATTTTTATTTTCTTCTCCAACTACTCTGATTTACTCTCACTTCAGTAAGTAATTATCTTTTTTTTCTGGTTGCTGAGATTTATAATTTTTATTTCTTTAGCGCGTTGCTGCTTCATGATATTGCCTCGCAATTTTACTCATACTTGAATTAATACGCGAATACACGTATACAATGCAAACATTTGATTACTTATGGCGATTTTCGTAATAGAGTTAAGTAATGTTTTTGGAGGCCGTAATTTGAGGTCAATATATTAATGATTTTGTTATATGTCGAATTAATTTGCCATAGGAGTAAACTAAGTGTTTTCCCTGGCCAATATATCCTTCTCAAGGTGAAGGACAGAGATGTAGTGTGCCTTTTGGTGTGTTATTCCTCTAATCTGCTGTACCCTTGATCATTGGAATGTTTTAACCAGGAATATCTAATATTATGGCATGTCTAATAGTTTTGCAATTGACACAGAGTCGTAAGAATTTGTTTGGAAAATGATCTAATCTTTTTTTTTATTTTCTGATTCTAAAGAAGGAATGGCTTTAAAAGGTGCTACCTGCTGATGTGAGCATTTTGAGGTGATAATCGCCTTCGAACTGTGGTTTCCACATCAAAGCAGACAACTATGTGGATTGACCCTGCAACATTGAAACTCAGACACAGAATTGGGAGGGGCCCCTTTGGTGAAACATGGTTGGCTACCCTTCATCGATCAACGGAGGACTATGATGAATATCATGAAGTGGCTGTCAAGATGTTGCCTCCAGTCAAAGGCGATCACATGAGAGTTCTGTTGGATAAGTTGGATGATTTATTCTCTAAGTGTCAAGGAGTAGAAGGTGTCTGTTGCCTGCAGGGAATTTCAGCTATGAATGGAAAAGTAGGTGAAGTACTCCTTGTATTTCTGGGTATTTTTGTTTCATATCTGACCTTTGTTGCTGATAAATAATTTTTTATGTCTGGCAGATATGTTTGGTTATGAAATTTTATGAAGGATCAGTTGGTGATAAGATGGCTCGCCTTAAAGGAGGGAAGCTCTCACTGTCTAATGCTTTCAGGTGAACAGGAAATTCTTTTTAACAAATATTTTTTTTATTTTTTTGATACATAATGCCGTAGAGAGCTGGCAATTCTCAGTGTGCACTAATTTTTACAGGTACATAATCAATTTGGCTCAGGGAATTTTGGAACTGCACTCAAAAGAGATCCTAATTCTTAACCTTAAACCTTTCAACTTTCTTCTCGATGAATATAACCAAGCAGTTGTAGGAGATGTAGGAATTCCATATATATTGCTTGGAATTCCATTGCCAAGTGCTGATCTGGCTCGCAGGATTGGAACACCAAACTATATGGCTCCAGAACAGTGGCAACCAGAAGTCAGAGGTCCAATATCCTTTGAGACCGATTCATGGGGCTTTGCATGCAGCATTGTGGAGATGTTGACTGGTGTTCAGCCTTGGTGTGGAAAGTCTGTTGATGAAATTTATGATGCAGTTGTCAGAAAGCAAGAAAAACCATGTATTCCTAGTGGGCTTCCTCCTCCTATTGTGAATGTTCTTCTTGGTTGCTTTGAGTATGACTTCAGGAGTCGCCCTCTAATGACAGACATATTAAGGGTGTTTAAAAGGTAGGTCTCTTCATCAAGAGGCAGGAGCTTTCTGTTGCATTCTGTATGGTCATTGGGAACTATACTATGAGTTTGTACATTTGACTTAAAGTAAAGGGGAGACAGCTTATGTTTTAGTGCTATGACATAGGCTGAATCATAATACAATTATAATACCTGGGGAATGAATTATTTTAATTGTTCAAGAACTCATGTACTGTACTATTGCACTTGGTATAGTACTTAATTATCAATAATATATAGTTAGACTATGTAGATGTGCACATAAGACAGATCTGAATTCCCCATTAAATTGGTTGGAATAATTCCCATATATTGTAATATATGCTAAGAAAATATGAAATATTTAATTAGTTATTAAGTACTAACAACTTAACAT